CACAGACACACAAACACAGAGCCTTCACGCACACAGCCTTCACACGCACTCAGACTGGACCTACACAGTGCCTTCACACACACACAAGCACAGAGCCTTCACACACACACACACACACACACACACAGCCTTCACATACTCATGCACAGCCTTCACACACACTCACACAGGGCCTACACATAGCTTTCACGCACAGCCTTCACATACACACACACACAGTCTACAGAGCTTTCACACAGGCACACAAACACAGAGCCTTCACACACCCTCACCCAGGGCCGACACACAGAGCCTTCCTACAGACACACCAGCACAGAGCCTTCATACACACTCACACACACACACAGAGCCGGTGCGCCTAGGCCCCGACGCCCGCCAAAAGCTCGCTCGGGAAGAGCGGCGAGGCGGGAAAATTCCGCGCGTAGGCGGAGACCGACCGCGCAGAGGCGCCTCCTCCCCTCCCCTCCCCCCCCCACTCCGAGATGGGGGCCGGTGAGTCAACGGAGGCGCCCGCCGGCGGGGGGGGGGTTGAGGGGAGGAGAACCGAGGAGCCCTCGCGCCTTTGGCCTTGGGGAGGGGGGGGGCGGGAAGAGCCGCCTCCCGCTGCTCCAAAAAAGGCCAGGGGGCGTGGTTTCGTCCAAGGGGGGGCGTGGCCTCCCTTATAAATATCGGCACCCGGCGGCAGGCACCCTCATTCCTCGGGCGCTCCGCTCCTGCTTCTGTCGCGCTGCTTAAAGGGGGCTCGTCTATATATCTATTTATTTAATTTTTTTTAATTATTATTATTATTATCATTCCCGCCGCCGGCTTTTGACGCCTCCTCGCTTTTTCTCTCTCCTTTCGGCCTCGCAGTGTTCGCCCCCGCCATGAATGGTTTCCGAGACAGCAGGATCGAGGAGGGCACCTTCCTCTTCACCTCAGAGTCGGTGGGGGAAGGGCATCCAGGTGAGGCGGGGTGGGGGGGCGCCCGAAGGACCAGGCTGTACCGGGTGGTGGGGGCGGGCGGGCGGGTGGGGGGGGAGTGAGGAGAGCGCGGAGGGCTGAGGCGAAGATAGACAGGCGGGAGGGCGCGCGCGCGCTCTGCGACGCTCGCCTCCTGATTGGCCAGCGCGACCCCCGGCTGAATGACGCAACGGGGCGGCTGCGGAGAATGGCGGGGGGCGGCGGCGGCGGCTTGAGGGGGAGGGTTACACGACCCGCCCTCCCCCTTTTGACCGAATTTCGAGCCTCTCCGTCTTGCGAAGGGGTGGAGGGAAGGAAAACGCCTGCGGGAGACCCTCCCTCCCTCTTTCCTTGCCGTCTCGGCGCGGCCAAGCGGGCCGACCGGCGAAGGAGACGGGGGGGGGGTGGCGGGCGGAAAGAGAAAAGCCCTCGCGCATGCGCAGTCCCGCTTGCCAGCCTCGGCGGCGCGCCCCGCATTGCAGGCGACCACGTGGTGCCCGCATGGCGAGACCTTGGGAGGAGAGGCTGGAGGGGGTGGGGTGGGGTGAGTAAGGGGGGGGGAGGGAAGGAGGGGGGAAAAAGCCCCATATTTCACAGCGCATCTTGGGGGGTGGTGGTTGGGGGGTGGTGATGGTGGCTGGGAGGAAGAGGAGGAGGGGGGTAAAAGACAAGGGTAAAACCGGGGGACTGGGAGGAAGAATGGTGTGGGGGGGCTACAAGATTTAAGGGTGGCCAAACCCTTTTCTGATTCAAGAACCCCAAATAAAAGGAGCGTTGCAGGCTTAATTGGAAGGATATAAAAGCCCACTGGCCCACTGGAATCGCACATCAGTGGCCCTTAAAAATAAAAGGCGGGTTTTCAGAAAAGCGCCTTCCTCTCTCGAGCTCTTCTGCAAACAAAAGAGGCTTTGAGTAGAGAAGCGGAACTGAGAACCGGACGAGCGGTCCTGGTTTGAATGCCCCGCGATCTTGGAAGGCATCTTGCCTTTTCCATTGTCTTCCGCCATGATGTCTGAGCCTCTCTTTTTTTGGGGGGGCGGGGCGGGAAGAAAGGAGCTATACTGGTTTTCAGCAGTGGGACAAACCAGTGTTGCCGCGTTGATCTAAACTGGAGTTAATTCTGGGATCATGATTCTTGGAAGAGGATGCGTTGGATGGAAGAGTGGGAGAGGTTAGTGCATGGCCAACGAGCAGGGAGAACCGGTAGATCGTCTTGTTTTCCGCCATTGACATGTAGCCATTGAACGCCATGTGGTTCATATTAAAAGGAGAGCGCTGTAATGTTCCCTGCAGGGTGGATCAGATCTCTTTAATAGTCTCAGTTCCTCTGCTTTCGGGGAATAAAAAAAGATTTGATAGTAACGGACATGATTTAATACGTGTGCTTGGTGAAATGAATGGGAGACCTTGCACCCTTCGCTGAACCGCTCATCACTGTTGTTCCTTTCATACCATAGTTAGGACTCCGACTTGTTTGGGGAGCCATGCTGTAGAACAACATCTCAAAGGTCATCTAGCCTACCTAGTGGCAGGCTGTCAGTTGCTAAAAGATACACGAGACAAAGCAAGCTGTACTAAGTTTCTTTGAAGACACTACAAGCTGGAAATTCCCTGAACTTTGTTCTGAATCCCCAGCTGTTAATTTATTTCATGAAACTGATAAAAATTACATTTTACTATACTATAGAACTTACATCATTATGCACAGGATCTTTTTCTGATGTGGCACCTACCAGAATACTGAATTGCATTCTAAAACAATGGGAGTCACATTTCTGTTTAAAATAGTGTGGGGTGTTACTGTTTTTTTGGAAAGCTATAGGAGCAAGCATTGTCTAGGTTTTAGTAGCGTTGCTTGTGGTTGTTGCGTTGTCTAATTTTACAGGTGTAGGTACTCCAAAGCCATATCAAAGCAATCTAATCTAGCATTTTATTCCGTAGAGACCAGTCATTCCTACAAGAAACCCACAGGCAGGATATGAATGCAGTGATACTTGTCCACTTATTTTACCTCCAAGATTCCTAATATCTTAGTATTATACCATAGCTTAAGCCAAATCTTCCACCTTTATTGATCAATCATTTTTATAACATAGAATTCCAAACATGTTCTCCAAATGTTCATGTTTCTAAGGTTACCATTTCCTTGTAAAAGAATCTGGAGTGGCCTCGATTATTAGCTTGGTAATATCACGTTTAACAGTGCAGTACGTTTTTTTTCTCTTGTCCTTACTTGCCCGTATATAGGATTCTCCTCTAAAGATGCTTGTTCTCCTTGTTGCCATCTTGTGTCCTCTCAAGAACAGAGGAGTAGGAGAGTGCAGATATAGCCTCTTATAATAGACTGTGAATCAGCAGGGGCCCTGCCCTGTGAAGCTCTAATTGACTGTAGGATAGTCACATTCGGTGTTTTCAGAAGGGGTGGGAAAGACTTTACCTTACAGCAAAGAAGGAGATTTTGGTATTGAGCTGTCCCATCCCATAAAGTGTTTCAATGCAGGTCTTAAAAACTGAACGTATACCTAAACACATACAAACAGATTGGATTGAGTAAATTTAAACATCCACAGTATCAGGAAGAAACCATTTTGGTATGTTTAATGGTGCCAGGCTACAAACCCAAGAGATTTGAATTGTAGTCCTATTTTGGGTAGAAAAGCCAGCTGGGTGGCTTAGCCAGGCGTGTTTTTCAGGCTTTTAAGAAGAAGGCTGTGGCAAACCAAGAATATTGCCAAGAAAATTGCACGGACTACTCCCAAAGCAATCCACCAGGGACAGGATTAACTCAAAAGTTCATCTATTTGACACGGAGACAGTTGCAGCTTTGTTATTCCTTGACTGACTCCTATGGAGCAGTGGATTAGAAGTTTTAACATTGCCCCCAAACCAAGCTAAGAACTATATACATAAATAACTCTTGAGTAAAAGCTATCTTTCATGGTTTATTGGGTTTATTGTGCGCCATCAGCTTAAGCCCAACCCTTGTGACCCTCTATCTAGCTTCTCCTAAGGCAAACTTTATAAGAAATGATGGCTGCTCCCAGTTCAGTGCTAAGCCAAGGGTCTTCAAACTTGGCAAGTTTAAGACTTGTGGACTTCAACTCCCAGAATTCCTGAGCTAATAGGACCGGAGGAGGAGGAGTAGTTCTGGGAGTTGAAGCCCACAAGTCTTAAAGCTGTCAAGTTGGAAGATACTTGTGCTAAGCACTGGGCTAGCCTGAAAGGTTACCCAGGACACGGGAATGTCTTGTTTACAGTTACAATAGGGTAAGCTAAGTCACTCTCTTTTAAATTGCTTGGCAAAGAGATGGCCAGAACAGACTTTAAGAAGGAGAGATGGTTTTAATTGATTATTGATGTAACAGATTTCTTAAAACGTGGAAGACATACTCTTTAAATTACAAAACGTGAACAAATGTTCCTAGAATCACAAGGAATAATAGAACCTTTCTGTTTTCAGATAAGATCTGTGATCAAATTAGCGATGCTGTTCTCGATGCGCATCTGAAGCAGGATCCAAATGCCAAAGTAGCATGCGGTGAGTGCGCCTGGCTTTTTATAAAAGGGGCCGGACACAGTATATATTCAATTTTTTTTAAAAAAAATCTGTGTGTGAGATTCTGTGGCGCTGAAACTGACAAGTGTTCAATCTGTCCTCCAATGCAGAAACGGCTGCTAAAACTGGGATGATTCTCCTGGCCGGAGAGATCACCTCTGCTGCCGCGGTTGACTATCAAAAAATTGTTCGTGAAACAATCAAGCACATCGGCTACGACGATTCTTCCAAAGGTGAGCGGATTGTGGATGCCTGCTAGGCTTAGATACCGCCTTTTTGCGGGGGGCGTTTGGGTTTTGATCGGGAAGCTTGGGGGGGGGGGTTGGATGCAATTTTAACACCTTCATCCTGAGGTTAAAACCTTCCTGCGTTTTAGGCTTCGACTTCAAAACGTGCAATGTGCTGGTCGCTCTGGAACAGCAGTCTCCGGACATCGCTCAAGGGGTGCACCTCGACAGGAAGGAAGAAGACATCGGTGCCGGGGATCAGGTTGGGATTAAGACCTTATTGATTTGTGATAAAGCAGAACAGGGGTGTCAAACTCAAGGCCTGGGGCCCGGATCCGGCCTGCAGGGTGCTAGGGCTGGCCCGCAGGGCTGCCCTGGAGACAAGGAAGGACTGGCCCACGGTGCTTTTGCCAGCGAAAACGGGCTCCCTTCGTTTTCACTGGTGGAGGATTGCCGGAGGCCGTGGCAGCTGAAAACGGAACCTGGGAGCCTGTTTTCGCTGGCAGAGGGCTTCAGCCACCACAGGCACCCCTGACAAGAGTAACATCTAGCTTGTCGTGCCCACCCGGCCCATACGCACATACACACACACACGTCAGGTCAAACACAACCCTGATGTGGCCCTCAATGAAATCGAGTTTGTCACCCCGAACTAGAACCTAATGTGAATCCTGAGCACTTGCCTGTTTTTGAGCCCGGAATTTATTGTCCCGCGTGTCGCTCCCGCTTCAGGGTTTGATGTTTGGTTATGCTACCGACGAGACGGACGAGTGCATGCCCCTGACTCTTCTCCTAGCGCACCAGCTGAATGCAAAACTGGCAGAACTCCGTCGGAATCATATTTTGACTTGGCTGCGGCCGGATTCAAAGACCCAGGTAACGATTGGCGTGGCATCTTCCCCGGTGGGAAGACCCCACCCCACCCCTGCCGCCATAGGCAGGCGAAAGATTCCTTTTCGGCCGTCGTGCGAGATGTGCTCCTTTTTGGGCTCCCGTTTCAGGTGACGGTTCAGTACAAGCAGGATCGCGGGGCCGTCATTCCCATCCGCGTCCACACGATCGTCATTTCCGTTCAGCACGACGACAGAATTGGGCTGGATGAGATGAGGGATGCCCTGAAGGAGAAAGTGGTCCGAGCGGTTGTGCCTGCAAAATACTTGGATGATGATACTATTTATCATCTGCAACCTAGCGGCCGATTCGTGATTGGTGGCCCCCAGGTATGTCAGCAGTTGCGTTTTTGTTGTTGTCTAATCTTGGACACTCAGTCTATTGGCAGCCTTCTGAAATGACCACAGCGGGGAAAATTCAGAGGCGCTTGGCAGTATTTTATAACAAAGCTAGGACTTTGTAAGATAAACAGAGGCATTTTAAAAGAACAGAATAACAAGAATTGGAAGGGACTTTCGGGGAGTGGGGGGGTGTCTTCTAGTCCAGGGCTCTGCAACCTTAAACACTCAAAGAGCCATTTGGACCTGTTTTCCCAGAGAAAAAAACACCAGGAGCCAATAATTCAACAACTGGTGTGACTGGGTGGGCTTGGCCAACTTGACATGGAGCTTAACCTTCTCAGGCCAGAGGAGGGAGGGGTGGGGCGGGCGGGCGGGCTCCAGCCAGTTTTGGGAGCAGCAGAGGGCTGAAAGAGCCGCATGTGGCTCCGGAGCCACAGGCTGCAGAGTCCTTTCTAGTCCCACCCCCTGCAAGCAGGAGACCCATTTTACACAAGCGGTTGTCTAGTCCCTTCTTAAAAGTCTCCAGGTTGGAGCACCCACAACTTGTGGAAGCAAATTGTTCCACTGCTTAATTGTTCTTGTTGCTTCTCTTTGTTCAGTTTCCATCCATTGCTTCTTGTCTGATCTAAGATTTGCACCAGAATTGTGTAACAAGTACAGTTGTTGTTTTTAGGGAGATGCTGGTTTGACTGGCCGGAAGATCATTGTTGACACTTACGGTGGTTGGGGAGCTCACGGAGGAGGGGCTTTCTCTGGGAAAGACTACACAAAAGTTGACCGTTCAGCTTCTTACGCGGCTCGCTGGGTTGCCAAATCCCTTGTGAAATCTGGCCTGTGTCGACGGGTGCTCGTTCAGGTATGTTCCGCCGGTTTCTTGGGGCGCTAAAAGATGCTTGGATTGGTTTCATTCCGACATGTTCACCTCGCTCTCATCCCTTTTGGGGATACGCAGTGCTGTCTATAAAGTGCAGAAAGAGATGGTTTTGTAAGCAATGCTCATCTCCATCCTGCCCTTAATGCTACATCTACCCTTTTGCACTTGCTACTTGACTGTGATGAAATGCATCAACTCCAACAATTTTCCTGGCCTTCCCCTTCCTCTCACCCTCTTCTATTCACTGGGCATGTGTTCATTCTTGGCTGTTGCCTTTTTTAAATACTCCTGTTGCACCGAGCTTCTGTTTTTCTCCCTCCATAGCCGACCCTTGACATCCCTTATAAAAAAACCTGAGCAGAAAAGTCATGCCCACATTTCTTCCCCCTGTTTTCCCTTCAAAGGGGAACTACTTTTGCCTTTTATGTAATTTTGAGGTTCACATTCTGCGCCTTGTCATGTAGTCTTATCCGGTATCTGCTCTAGATGAGTTGGGTTTTCTGTCGGCAGGCGTGATTATTGCCTGTATCCCAAAATAACAAGTTATTTAAGTTTTGAAAGAACAGCACTGAAAGCGTGGTGAGTAAAAGGCAAGAGTTTTTCTTTTAAAATATGGAAAACGTATTATGTGATTTTGGAAGTTGTAGCATGAAAGGAGGACGATACTATGGAGATTCTCCGTCATCCAAGTCATGGTTATCCCAAAAATGTGGGTTGTTTTTTTTTTCCCTTTCAAGAGGCAACTGGATTTTCTGGTTTTTTGTTTGAAGACGTTTCGCTTCTCATCCAAGACGCTTCTTTAGCTCTTTAAAAAAAACAAAAAACAATCTAGAAAGTCCAGTTGCCCTTCGAAAGGGGAAAAAAACCAAACCCAAACACTTTTGGAAGGGAGCAGGAGGAGGAGTTTCCTGTTCCTACTTGGTGGCCAAACCCCGCTACGGTTGCCCTTTGCCTGCAGGTCTCTTACGCCATTGGAGTCGCCCATCCGATATCCGTCTCTATTTTCCACTATGGCACCTCTCAAAAAACCGAACATGAGCTGCTGGATATTGTGAAGAAGAACTTTGACCTTCGCCCTGGGGTCATTGTCAGGTAAAACATGGTAACGCGTGTCCCGTGTACGAACATGGAAAAAAATCCACGGGGGCTAGGAAGGAGGGGAATTAGGCATAAAACCAGCAAATGGCCGCTGGGCAAATCTGCCCCTTCGTGTGCCAACGTTTTGTCCTTCCTTCTGCTGTATACGCCACACCCACTGCGAAGAGACCGAGGAAAGCCGCCTGCCCCGCACGGCATGTCTTGGTTGTGTGGTCACAGGAGATGGCTACAATGTCAATCACAACAGAGGTGATGTCCCTGCATTATGGGGCAGGGTGGGGAAGGCGCACCTGGATGCCTTTAGCTAGCAGCGCGTGCTCTTTGGTAGGTGACTGTCAAGGGTAGACTAGATTAGGAAGCTGGTGTTACGTAGGCTAATACAACCTTAGTGAAGAGCTGTAGGAATAGAACCTTGCACGTCCGAATTGCCTTCCCTTCCTCCTCTTTGCGAGACCTCTACAAGGATAAGTTTTGGTGGGCCGCTGCCCCGAGAGAGGCGCGGAAGAACTTGCTTCGAAGGGGGGGGAAAATTCCCGGAAGGCAAAACCTCTTTTGAGAGAGGCCGGCCTTATACGCTCAAAGATACTTCAAGGTGGTTGCTTGACACCTTTGGAAATCACTTCATGAGGAATTATATTTGCTGCGTAATAATAGCAGGCTCTATTTGCAGTTGAAATCTCTCTGGACAATGCCAGAACTGTAGGAGTAATTGATCACAGAGTTTTTAATTGCTACACGGCAAGCAATATATAATCCTTGGAAGTAAGGCTCCGTGATTAATATGGTAACTGCAGCTTTTATATGGCTCTGTCAAAGTTTTTCATTGCTACGCAGCGAGCATCTAATACTTCTAATTAAGGCTCCATATTAATATGGCAACTTCAGCTTTCACGTGGCTTTCATGTTCTGATTGAGCCCGAGGCAACAGAGTCGTTAACTCCTGTTTTAGAGAGGTAGGAAAAAAATGGCTGATAGTTAAACCTTAATTACCTTTTTTTTTTTTTGGTTTGGAGGCTAACCATCCTACGTAAAGCTTGGTTGTGACTTTGGGCGGGCGGTGGGGAGGAGGCTTAGCTCCACAGACAGGTAGCGCTGCTTTGTGTGCACTATTATCTGTGAGGGAAGTCTCTACGTTGAGGTGTGGGTTGATGTTGAGATAGGAAGTGTCCCCCCTTTCTGGAGAGCTGCTGTGGTCTGGCCTGGGAAGTAGACATTCCTAAGTAGAGAAGGTAAGTATCTCATTGCTCTCCGCTTGGAGCCCCGGGAGAGGGGCGGGAGGAGGGCTTAGCTTTCCAAGACACACATGGGCAATGCTGGTAAACCTCGCCTCTTTGTAGAAGGATGCATGGCCTCTGGGGGCCAAGATGCTTTCGACGGTCCTCGCTAACTCAGCGGCCTCTTGGGGGGGGGGGGGACGCGTTGTAGGTGCTTTTTGCTTCGTTTGGGTGAATGCTGTGTATTGAGTTACGGACTTGTATATTCCAGGGAGCTGGATCTGAAGAAGCCTATTTATCAGAAGACTGCAGCCTATGGTCACTTTGGTAGGAACAACTTCCCCTGGGAAGTCCCCAAAAAGCTTAAATACTGAATTATGATGTTGGGCTTCTTTCCCCAGACCTGTTGGTGTACATTACAGAGAAACCTTCAGGCTCCTTTGAGGGAAAGAGCCCCCACCCCTCAATTGGTTCTATCCTTCTCTGCTCTTAAACCAACAAAAACAAAAAAACCTTGGCACACTGTTCATGACCATGAATTATCAGTCCTCTGGGGCGGAGGGAGGAGGGGACGACCGCAAATTGCACTGTGCTTTTCTCTCCCTCTTTGCCTGGTGGGCTTTTGACCTACAAGAGCCAGTTGAGCCTAGAATAGAATAGAAAAGAAGAAAAAAAAAGAATCCGTAGAGAAGAAAGGCTTTGAACCCAAACAGGGCTTCAGCCTAAATCTTTTTGCATCGCCCAAAGGCTTTTAAAGTTACCTTCAAAAAAAGATAAAAGAGAGAAAAAAAATCCCAAGAATTTTTCTCCTTGTGATGTGTGTCCATGCAGTCGGTGGTTCCGCCTCCTCTGCCCAGATGCTTACAGCAAGCAAGGCGGTGCCAGCAGCCGGATTGGGAGACTGCCAAGGCCGCCCCCTCCATCGATTTCGTCGGGAGAGCTTGCGCGTTACCTAACTCCCCTGTTTTGCAACTCTCTCATAGGTGCGGTTCTCAAAAAATATATATATATATCTTGAATAACAGAGGCAGTCCCAATTCCGTGCTTTTAAAATTCAAAAGCCGGCATCCCATCGCGATCTTTTTCCTGCTGCTTTCTTTGAGGTTCTTTTTTGTATTATTATTTTTTAACCTATGCAGTTTTAGCACTAGCCAGACCTCAAAATCCCACCATTCCCTTATCAAATGGGCACTCGGGGCAATCTTGGTATGCTATAGAGAGGTCAGAAGATTGTCCCCAGGATTTGTAGGCTGCACACTTTTTGGCACCTGGATTTTTATTTTTTTTATTATTTTTTTTTGGTTAGAGCCAAGAATTTCATATTGCACAAAAATTCCCAGTTTACTTTCACAGTCGAGTCCAAACTGCATTCTGAAGTCCTGGCGTAGCTACAGAGAAGCCAGGGCCCTTCAGGGCACACGTGCAAATTGGGAAGGTTGTGGGAAGATAAACCTACATACTTGAAAAGAAACTTTTTAATAATTGCTTATTTATTGTGTTTGGGATGGGGTGTGAGTACAGAGAAGCCCTTGTCTCAAATGGCAGCTTTTAAACTTTACTTTTGACACACCATGAAATTCCTTGACCGTTCCCAGCATTCCCTGATAGGCCAAGGTGTCCTACAGAAAAGCCTTGGGTGTCACCTACAGGGGGTCTGGCTTGTGTAAAACGGGGGGAGGGCAGTGCTGGGGGAACCTGACCACGGGAGGGGCTAACTTGGTTGGTGTTGTACAGAGAAGCCAGCTTGTTTACTTGTCCACCCCATGGTCAGTATCCTAAACAGGAAGTGCCTTTTGCGTTCCACTTTTTTTTTTCCTTCTTCCTCCTGGGCGTTTGATTACATATGTCTGGTTCTCAAAAATTCCACATTAAAATCTTAATAAAGTGCTAGGTTCTACCTTAAATGACGGCACGTGTAATGGTTTGAGTCTCTTTTTCCTTTTTCTTTTTAGAAAAGGTAAATGTTTTTCCTCTCCAGTTACGTCCGACTCTGTGCATGTTTGTGTCTGTTCGTCTTTTTATTTCTAGCTGAGAGAGCTAGGGTTGTCTGAAGACGCTTCCCTCGTCATGTAACTATCAGTATATATACCCAAGGTCCCTGGGAAACGCTAGGTTTACCTTTCCACCCAGGTGCCACCTGCTTATCCACTCAACACCTGCATGCATGATCTGCTAGATTGACAGGAGCTGGGGATAAGAATTGGGAGCTCACCCCCATCTCACAGCGGTTGGGTCTCCAATTGCCAACCTTCAGCAACTCTGCGTCGGGTATGGCTTAAAACGGAGGTCTCCAAACTTGGCAACTTTTTAAGACTTGTGGACTCGAATACTTGTGGAGTTGAAGTTGCCAACTTTGAGGACCCCTGCTTAAAAGAACGGCCTCCTCAACCTTCAGTCTTCCCTTCCTGCTACTGGGCTGATTTTCATGGGCCTATTAAAGAAGTGGAAGACCTATTAAGTTAAACGCATTTTTAAGCCTGGCTAAAGCGCATTCCCCAGATAAGAACCTTGTCTCAAAATCTGTCTCTCTGTAGGAGGTTGCCTCTCCTAGTTGGTAACACTGGAAGCTCTGAAAGGGACCAATGACTTACAGAGAGGTCCGTTTGTTCCTGAAAAGCTATTCCAGGCCCATTTTCCAAAGCCAAGATGTTGCTTTCTGGCTGGCTGAACGCAGAGACACTTGGCCACTTACGATATATCCTGTCTCTTCTGGCAGTGAATGTACATAATATTCTTCCTATTTTCCCTACAACCCAGCGAAGAAGTGAGTTGGATGGAGAGAAGAATTAGCCCAAAAATCACCCACCTGGCTTTTGTGACTAAAGTGGGGCTTGAACTCATTTTCTCCTGGTTTCTAGACCAGCACCTCAACTATTACGCCAAACTGGCGCTCTTGACTCCTTTAACAAGGTTAAAGGCTGGCTTCTATAGCTTCTTCCACATGAACCGCCTGATTTGGAAAGCATGGCCCGAGTGGCTCCAACTTTAGGTGTCATTTTCTGATTGTGGCACATTATTCTGCCTTTTCCCTTAATGGGCTGCGCTCCAACCTTTTCCCCCTCCCCATCTTGAATTCCACGGGGAGTTGAAAGCTGGTTTTAACTGGGAGCCTGGGACGGAGGTCCAATCGGACTCCTCTCAAGAAAAGTGCTGTGAACATCATTTGGGACTAGATTAGGGGATGATAAGCAGTAGCATAAGTTAATGATAAACTTGTTTTTTAAAAAAAAGTAGCAAGGGAAAGAGCTACAGGTGAGACCAGTTGCCTTGGTGAGAATTTATTCTGGATTTATCTTGCTCAGGTAAGCATACCTGCCTCAACTGCCACCAATATGCAAGTCGGAGCTGGATATTTTTTGCGGGGGGAGGGGGACATTAAATTGGGGAAAAGTTCCATGTTCCTATAGGAGAGAAAATCACAAAAAGTACAAGGTAGAGTTACCTGGCAACGCCATTGGCATCTTTCTAGTAATCAACTTGGGACGCCTTCCAATGCTTGCCCCGTGCCAATGTTCCTAGAAATCAAAGAAAATGGCCTTCTTAATACGCAATATTTGCATGTCTTGCTGAGCAAATAATTAACTAATTAATGCAGGCAGCTATTTTGGCTTCATGCGAAAAATAAGGGGAAAAGCCAAACACTAAAACATTACAAACTAATGCAATTTTTAAACATTTGTTAACAGACAAAAGTAAAAAGCAGGATTGCACCTATTTAGTATACAGGACACAACCATGAAAAATAGAAATGGGACACTTTATTGTGCAGAAAATCATGACAAATTTGATGAGCTAATACCAAAAGCATTGTTACTTTTATGCTGTTTTTAACAAAAAATCATTCCAAATAACACTGGCCCACATTTCTCAGTAATACTTTGGAGAGAAACTTCAAGCACAGAAATTCTTGAGGCCCTTTTATCATTGTTATGGGGAATAAATACAGGTAATCTTCAATTTACAATGTTTCGTTTAGCAGCTGTTTGACGGTTTCATGGCGCTGACCAATTGTGGCATCTTAAGTCGATTAAAATTCAGGTGCTTGGCAACCGACTCAGGTTCCCAACCATGTTACTAACTCGTGATTCACTTAACCGGCAAGAAAAGTAAAATGAGGCAAAATGTCTTACTTGGCAACAGAAAAGTTGGGCTCAACTGGTTATAAGTCGAGAAAAACCTGTATTTAGAGCAGAAGTCTCCAAACTTGGCAACTTTTAAGCCTGATGCACCACAACTCCCAGAATTCTCCAGCCAGCATAGCTTGCTGGAGAATTCTGGGAGTTGAAGTCCACCAGTCTTAAAGTTGCCAAGTTTGGAAACTTGATTTAGAGGCTTTAAACAGGAATTTGGCAGCATCTTCCAATTCAGGCTTTTCTTTAAACAATAGAAACCTTTGACTCCCATTTTTTGTTTTGGCCATTGTAGACTTAATATGATTGTCTAACAACAATATCAAAAGTTTATATGCATTTCTGCAAATACGAAAACGCCCAGTAAACAAAAGGACGGGTTTTGCAATCCTCTGTTGACTCATAAAAATCCTACGTACGCCACAGAGGAAACCGTTTATAAAGGTCAGTGGCTTCTGAGCAGCTCCAAAGTTCAAAAGTGATCCTTTGTAACGCCTTTTGTAAAATAATTTAAAAACAGAAAAAAATCCAGGAGCATCTTGTTCCTTTGGGTGCTTGTTTCCCTTGTAGAATTTGGGTGAAAGGTTAGATTGGATTGACCCGGCTGTTCCCATTAATTCAATGTAACAGCGCTACTTAGGAGGGTCCTGTTGGTGGCAGCAAAACTCCAGATGGCCACTAGGGAGCCTAAGAGAGACACCTTTCCTGCCCTCTGCTGGCCTTCGGAGGTTCTGCAGCCTGAATCTGGAAGGATTATCACTTTGTAGACAATCGGCACACTTTTTTTTAAAAAAAACGTTGCTTTCAGCTCTCAAAGGGTTGCCACTTTTAATATACACTAGATAACCATGACACAATAAAATAAATACAAAATTATGCATATAAATAGTGCAATAGGCGGCCAACACCGGGCAGTTGGTCTCTGCACCATGACTTGCTACATCCTATCAGGGTGGATCCCTGAAAACGGCACTATCTTAATTTGGAGGCAGGTGGGGGCTTGGGAGGCCTGGTCAAAGCAAGACCATCCGGACATCCTCCTTAAAGAAGATCTGCCATGGCACCTCTTCCGGTGACTGAAGTCCCGCTGGTTCCGATGGAATGGAGCCCCCGGATTCCCGCTGTAGCCAGGCCTCGTGACCACAAAGCCCATCGATCTGAAGCCGCCACAAGAGGGAAGACCATGCTGGAGAGCAAGAGGTTTATACTGTACATCTTGCATTGCATTGCATTTGGTTTCTCCTGCGCAGGGCAGCCATCCTATAATTTCAGGAATGCAAAATCAAATGCAAATCATACCAAGTTGCTGGTGTCACGATTAATTACAAGTTTTAATTAATGAATTTATTAGAGGACAATTGCATAACCCAGAATATCCCCACTCCTTGGGAAATGTTTTTTTTCTCTCCTTAATTCCCTTCTTGAGTGGAAGTTCCAAGCAATTATTGACCGGGATTGTTGGGGGCAAGAGGCTGATTCTGGAAACCGCTTAGAGAAGGCTGTAAAGCATTGCGAAGCGGTATATAAATCTAAGTGCTACTGGTAAGGAAGGGAGGGAAAAAGATGGGGAAAGAAAGAAGGAAAAGATGGGAAGGAAGGAAAGAAGGGAAAAAGTTGGGAAGGAAGAGAAGATGGGAAGGAAGGAAGGGGGAAGATGGGAAGGAAGAAAAGGGGAGAGGAAAAGATGGGAAGGAAGGAAGGGAAAAAGACGAGGAAGGAAAAGGGGAAAAGACGAAGGAAAGAAAAGATGGGAAGGAAGGAAAGAAGGGGAAAAGATGGGAGGGAAGGAAAGAAGGGGAAACGATGGGAAGAAACGAAAGAAAAGATGGGAAGAAGGAAGGAAAGGAAAAAGATGGGAAGGAAGGAAGGAAAGGAAAAAGATGGGAAGGAAGGAAGGAAAGGAAAAAGATGGGGATAAGATGGGAAGGAAGGAAAGAAGGGAAATGAGCAGAAAGAAGGGAGGAAGCACAGTGGTTAGAGTGCAGCATTGCAGGCTAACTGAGCACAGCCAGCAGTTCGATCCCGACCGCTCGATCCTTCCGTCCTTCCGAGGTGGGTAAAAGGAGGAGCCGGATTGTTGAGGGCAATTTGCTGACTCCGGAAACCGCTCAGAGGGGCCTAGAAAGAACTGAGAAGCGGCATAGAAGTCTCAATGCGAGGGCTATTGTGGTGACGTCATCCTACGGAATAGCCACTTCCCCTCCCCCCCGCATTCCGCTGCCGCGCTCCCCGCCCCTCCCCCCCCCCCCGCATTAAAACAAGCCGCTCTCCATTTGAAGTTTGAAACCGTAGAAGGCCTTAGCGCGCGTGCGCGGTTAAAAAAGGAAAAGAAAAAAAAAAAAGGAGGAGACGGAGGGGGGACGGTCCTCTGAGCAAGAACCAGCGCGAGAGCGGCGAGAGGCGCGAGGCCAGATCGACGCGCCTGCGCTCTTCCTCCGCATCTCGCGTTCGGCCAAAAGGGCGTGGCCAAAGCCGGGCCCTCGAGCGTTGCGCCTGCGCGGTGCGCGGAAACGAAAGGAGAGCGAGAGGCGAGACCTTCAGCCTTGACAAGGAGGGACGGACGGACGGTCGGGCGGCGGCGGCAGAGGCGCCCCTGAGGTGCGGCTGGTGGGGCGAGGGAGCCGGTTCCCCCACCCCCTTTCCGCTCCCCCTCATAGGAGGCAGCCTGAGGGAGGCTGGTTGGAACTCGTGGGGGACGCGGAGGCCTCGAGGGCTGCGGTGGCGCCTGAGGGCTCTATTGGGGGGGGGGATATTAATTATATTAATCTCTATTGCAATATAATATATTAACCTCCATGAAGGCCATACTTGAGCATCCCGCCCCCGCTTTCCTCGCTCTCTCTGGGGAAGGTCGGGGCTGTTCTGAGGGGGTGGGGGGGGGCGACATGAGAGGCCTGGGGGGCGTTTCTGGGGTCCAAAGCGGGGAGACGTTATGGGCCCCTTCCCGAACAAGCACCTGGTACTGGTACCTGGCAGGTTAAGGAACTGGAGCTCCCAGTAACCCCCACCCCCACCCCCCCAGTGGGTCCAGTTATAGAGGGTGCTGGCTGGGCCACCACTTTGGTGGGTGGGAGGGATATACCTTCGCCACCTTGAGTTATTTATAAATAAATAAATAAACGTTAAATAAATAAATATAAATAAACATTTATTTATTTATAAATAAATAAAGCAAAGCATGATACTGTAGGAAGGTTTACAGAGGAACAAGAGTGGGAAGGGACCTTGGAGGTCATCTAGTCCAGCCCCCCTCCCCCTCCTCTGCCCAAGCAGGAAGACCCTACGCCATTTCTGACCGATGGCAGGCAGTCCAGGCTCTTCTTGAAAAATGTGCTAGATCATACCTTGAGTTATTTGTACAAATAACAGTGTGGAATGTACAAATAAATAAAACAAACCATGATAGGAAGGCGCGTTAGATTTGCCGCCTTGAGTTGTTTGTCATTGGTTATAATATTGGGTTAGAATTGGAGAGGCTTCAGCTATACATGACAAAGGGGGGATATATATATACATTATTTTTTTGTGTGTGTGTGTGTGTATATAGATACAGATATAGATATAGATATATAAAATAAATAAAACTAAGCCTGATGCCATAAGAAGGTTTGCATATATCTTTGCCCCCTTGAGTTATTTGTTAAAATAACAAAACAGGGATGCAAATAAAGAAAAGGTGTGATAGGAAGGTGTGTTAGAGATGTCCTTGCCACCTTATTTGTAAAAATAAAGGATACATACAACTATATAAATAAATAAATGAAACAAAGCCCAATAGGAAGGGGTGTTAGATATGTTTGCCACCTTGAATTATTTGTCAAAATAAAGTGGGATATAAATAAAACAAATCATGATAGGTAGGTGTGTTGGATATCTTCACCACCTTGACCTTTTTGTGTAAAAATAACGAAAGTGGAATATAAATAAAAGCATGATAGGAAGGTGTGTTGAGTATAACTTCGCCACCTTGAGCTATTTGTAAAAAATAAAAGTGGGATATAAATAAAACAAACCATGATAGGAAGTGTGTTAGATAAGTTCACCACTTTGAGTTATTTGTAAAAATAAAGTAGGATACATACAAATAAATAAATAAAACAAAGCATGATGCCAAGCCAAAACTCAACACATGACACCTCACCTTGAGGGTTGGTGTGGAGACAGGTGTATCCCATGAGGTCATAATGGGCATTGTTTACTTTGGCTTGGTAGGAGCCATTTTGGTTTATTAACCTTGGGGTTTGGTTTAGTATGTTGAGGGCATAGGCTGCCATGGAGGGGCAGCAGGGAGGAAGCAACGACATCTTTGTGCAAGATGGGTAGGTTCCAAACCTTCCGACCTTGTGTTCCAAAACACAAACAGGTGTGTTTGCTAGGAATTTCACTCTGACGTGTCTGGGAAAGGATTGGTTATAATATTGGGTTAGAGTTGGAGAGGCTTGGGCTGTAAATGAAACGGGAGATGGAGCGTGAGACTAGATTGAGGTTCAGATCCTTGCATGGAAAAGAGACTCAGTGAGCGCCCTGCAGAAAGTGTTTTCTGACAAGGGTGGCTGTACAGGTCAACATTGGAGGGACCAATATAGTGACTTGTTTTCTTGGCGAGGAAGGTAAGGTAGCAGAATATGATCCATACAGCTATGGAAAGGATGTTGATCACCTCTTAAGTTTTAAAAAGTAGAATTTAAGAAGCTGCCTTAAACCGGGCTGGATGTCTGTCTGTCCATCCAACTCAGTTTTATGTAGAATTGCCCAACATGGTGCCATCTGGATGGATTATCAGGCTACTACCCAGACTTCAGCTAGCATGATTATTGGGCGATTGTGCTTGGTTCATTTTTTAATCTGATCTTTCAGGGGGATAGGGTAAGATAAAAACATTTGAAGAATGTCCTCTTGTTTCAAGCAGCAGGTTACCAACATGCTTGTGTAAACTACTTTATAGTCATTTTTAAAGGAGATGATAGGACCTAGTGGGAAAGTGGTATAAATAATGTTTGAATTATATCCTTCAAAATAGCTTTGAGTGGCATGTGTTCATAACATAAAGTGACCCAATGGATTCATGATTGGTAGCATCAAAGAAAATCCCAAAGAAAGTAATGCTATATTGCAACCAAAAGCCATACAGCATCAAGAATATAAATTCAGAAACTCATGTAAATGACATACAGCCAGGACTCTCCAATTATGCATTCCCAAAAGATTGTCTCATCCATCATTCTAGTTTAACACCTGGGGTGGGCAAAGCCAAATTTTAAAATCTTGAAAGTTTACAAGGTTCAGGCCATAGAGGGCTTTTTGGTTGAATGGAGATCTTTATTTATTTATCGTATGTATATTCTGACTTTTTATCAGGAACTCAAAAAAATAAGTACTCCCCGATCTATCTGTCACCTTATGTCATTCTGCTCAGTTTGGTCAAATATTTAACTTTGTTCAAAAAAAGAATGAATGAATGAATTAGAGCGTGCAATAATGCCTTATCCCTAATTAGGTCACATATGGGGAATTACATGTACTGTGAAGTCAGCAATGATGTCACAATCTACAAATGAATTTTTTAAAAAACCTACTGGCTACCCTGGTATTCTAATCTTTTAAAAACAAAATTAAAAAGTGGTTAAAAGGTGAAAAGTTGTATTCCCAACATATTCAAAAAGTGTTCTAGTCCTTTGTCTAGTTCACCTCTTGCAATATATTCTAAGGCTTCTATTAAATCATATGTGAGACTGTATTTGAGGATGCATGTATTGTACCATGTATATAAAGTGCTTCAGTTTTAATACCTGGGGCTATTGTGAATCAGCAGGTGGTTGTATCTAGGAATACCTACACACATTCAATGTTTATTTAGAGTTGTGTGAACATAAATCATATACACACACACACTGAACTAAAAACTGAACTACACACTCTCACTAACATGCTAACAGCCAATGGATTCCAAAGAAAGAAGATTACCCACCTAATCCAAAAAGAAACCCCAACCAAAATCCAAGACAGAGAACAAGAGAACGGCAAAGCCCTCCTCCCGTATATAAAAGGCACTACAGACAAAATCAGCAAGAGCCTCCAAAAACACAACATTAAAACAGCATTGTGCACAAACAGAAAAATATCCACCATCCTAAGAAACCCTAAAGACAAAATCAAGTTAGAAAACCAAGGAGTATACGAAATCCCTTGCACAGCCTGTCCCACCACATACATCGGACAAACTAACAGAAGAATAAGTGCACGCATTGAAGAATTACAAGAACTCAATCAAAAAAGAAGAACCGACCTCTTCCCTGGTCCAACACCTCAAAGCCACAGGACATGAGATTGACTTTAAAAATACCAGAACTATCGCCAAAACCGAACACTTCAACAACAGAATAATCAGAGAAGCCATAGAGATAGAAAAAGGCCCACACAGCATGAATAAACGAGATGATACCTCCCGCCTACCAGCCATTTGGAAACCCGCCCTCATTAACAAACGAGTACCTAACATAAAAAATGACACCAGACCCACAACCACGAGGGCCACACAAGATGCTACCACCACACTTCCACGTAGAAAGCAGACTCACACCCACACGTAAGATGAGACACAACCACAGACCAGAAGCCGTACCGCAGCTGCATCACTACCCGCTTCAACCCCCTCCGACCCATACGTGAAGCGAACTGACGCCCACCATGAAGATGCGGCACGACCACGAACACCAAGCCAAACAACAGGATCACAGCTCACCAGCTCAAATCCCCCAGCAACTAAGACTAACCTGAGCACAACCAAGCCCCCACCTGAACAGAATACACCCCCAGCCAATCAGAACACAGCCAAACCCCAACCAATGAGAACACACCCCCACCCAATCAGAATGCAGCCAAGCCCCCACCCAATCAAGTCACACCCCCACTAGCAGTTAAAAGGAAGAAGCAGCTGCAAGCTCACATTACTCCGAGAAGCACAAAGCCGAAGACACAAGCCTGAAGATGATGAATGAGACTTTGTTGAAACATCGCCTAGATACTCCGTTTTACGTGGGAGAAAACCCAAATAACCAAAGATATATAGGTTACAGTACTTTATGGTTCATTTAGGTCAGGGGTGTCACGTGATGTGTCAGGACTTTTTCCCCCTTCGCTAAACTAGGGGTGGGCGTGATCAGCACGTAATGCATCTGGCCCGTGGGCTGTGAGTTTGACACCCCTGATCTAGGTTATTAAAGCAATTCATTTATAGTAGGTGATAGGAAGATTGCGCTAAAACTCTCCCCATATGTGTTACATCAATTTAAAAGGGAATTTACTGGTGCCTCAAGGAAACAGATTCTTTTATCCTAAGGGTAAAATAGGAAGTAACTCAATTCCAGTGTTTATTTTCAAAACTATTGTATGATGAGTTGACACAACTTAGTTTAAAAGGCCCTAGTAGTTGCAGCTTGCAATTGATATGAATTTTGCAAGGGATTTTATTTGAACTTTTTGGTACCGTAACCCCTTGTGGAAATGCTGCGCTGCAGTACCCGTCTGAAACAGCACTCCATTCTGAGCTCACCTTATAATGTTGTCATTCACAGAAGCACCTAAGCTTGTGGCAAGCACCGCTGTTGAAAATCAGTAAGGTGCTGATCTTGTAGTTTCATACCATAAACCAACATCTGGTAAGACTGAGCTATGTGGCATAGTTTCAATTGAGCACAGCATCGGTGCAAGAGTGAATTTTGCTTTCTTACTCAAAATTCATGTTTTCTCTACTAGCAGTCTTGAGTAGAAGCTATTCAAAGTAGTCACGTGCAGGGGGGAAAAATGGAGTGGGCTATGATTTGAAACGCCCTTTGCAAAAACTCCATGAATGAGACAATCAGCATAACATTTTTAATTAGCAAGTGATGCTTTGAATTCAAAATGGAGGATGCATCCCTCCAAACCTTCCCCCAAGATTGTGAGTTTCCTGAATTGTGTTCTTAAAGTAATGACTTAGCAACACCGTTTATTTTTTTTATTGGAAAGTGATGCATTTTTTTCCACCTAAGAAATGATACAGATTGAAGGTAGTTGAAACCAGCACATTTTTCTAATAGTCTAGATTCTAACTCTGGAAATTGCATTAGTTATTTGTTCCCCTCTCCTAAGTTGGATTTCTTGGCCAAGCCAAGAAAACATATCCCGTTTATATTCTCCTAAACGTGAGGTGATCATTCCAGATCAGCCTAGCAGATACAGGAAGTGATGGGGTGGAGGGTGGGGTGGAGATGAGAATCGCTTGTCCATACTTACACTCAATCTGTACAAGATACTCTTAGTCCTGTCTTTTTTTCTGTAGCAAAGTGACTTTTATCTAAGCGTCAGTTGGAATGAGGAGGACAGAAACAAGGAGGAGTTTCATCACTCGAAGCTTTCAAGAAGAGACTGGGCTGCCATCTGTCAGAAATGGGTGTAGAGTCTCTTGCTTGGGCGGGGTGTGTGTGTGTCTGTGTGTGTTGGACTAGATGACCTGCAAGGTCCCTTCCAACTCAGTTGTTCTGTTAGAACTGAAAAAGGATTATACTAACTAAATAGCAGAAGGTGTGCCTGTCATAAACACTTACAAAAGAAGAACGTTTCTATGTACTTTTTTGCTGAGTGATGTATATTTTTGGAAGAATCCTTTATTGTGACAAGAATTAATGCAAAGAATGGTAAGGCTTAGCCTGAATCCCTGTTTTTTTAAAAGACGTCTGCAAGTTTGGGGAATAATTAACTTGCAGAGAATAGTAAAGGGTAAGGTTAGGAACCGACAGGAGTGCTGAATGCGAGAGCGCTGCTTTTGCTGACCTGTCTGTTCTTCACTTATCACCTCTCCTTACGTTCTGTGTGGAAGCTTACACAGAGTTGTGTCCTATCCGTAGTCTTTCTGATGGTCAGTCCAAAATGGCAGATTGCTTTGCTTACAAATTCTCAGCGAATGTATTAAAACAAAGAGTGTGACTTCTTTTTTGAATCCTGCTCAAGAAATGTTCCTGTACCATCCATTATGCCAGCATTCAGATGGAAAGTACTATATATTCTGGAGGAAGCAGGCATCTGTGATGCTTTTACATTTTTGAATACCTTTAAAAAAAACCTTCCCGCCTCAACGTTAAGAGTACTTTCTTATTGTACATGCGCACCCCTCAAATGCACACAATCTCGTGCTTAGAAATATACAAAAAATTTTTTATCACACTGTTCTGACTATGGAATAGATTATTACATCAAAACAAGCCTATTCCAAGTGTCCAGTAATGGTCTGACTTCAAAGTAGACCCGCCTAGGTGTTCCAGAAGTGGAACGCTTCAAGGTCACACTATTATTGGAACACTTAGAATGTCCCTTTAGATAGTTGCATCAAACTCTCAGAACATGGTTTCTTCATCAGGCCTGGGGATGCCTTAGACAGTAGGAAGACCGCACAACATGTAACATTCTGATTTTAAACCTCTCATGAACTTGGTTTTAATAATTAATGTCATTGTTTTAATTGATTTTACAATATGGGTAAATCATTGGCTTTATTGCACACCATTCAGAGTCCCTTTGGGTGAAATAAGTGGTTACATTCAATTGATTAAATAAATAAATGGCATATTTTGCATGACACTGCTCTCTTCACATAGGTTGTCCATGATGGCTTCCTATATATTTGGAGCGGGTGTGTGCTTAGTCTTTGGAATTTTATTTAGGATAAAGCCAGTAGTGTCTGTCACTTTTCACAGCCAGAATCTTTCCGATAGAAAGAACCTAGGTTGGAATTAATAATCCAAATTTACGTAAATATGCATTTTTCAGAGAAACTGGAATACCTGGTCAAAAAGTTATGGTATAGTATGAAAATCTGCATCTAGCACTTAACAATACGCTGATTCCAATTTTCATAGAAGTTGGTGTCACTGAAAATAATATTTTGAATTAGTATGTTGCTGGCACGTTCAAATGTGTTTTGAGGTTAATCAAAACCATTCTCCAAGAAATCTTTTCAACTTATTGGGACCTAAAAGATAGGGATGCCAAAGGTATTATGTGAAATATGTTTAAACTGAGAAATGGAAACCGATTTAGAGTCATGCCAGAATATTGTGCTCTAATAAAACTGTGATTTGAATTTCCACGGTATTAAATATAATGCTGCATCGGGTGCAGGATCCTGCCTAGGAATGCATTAGATCCTCTTTATTGGAACAGTATTCTAACTGTACATCAAATTTAGGATTAGGGGTTCAGAATTTTGAGAATATTAAACATACAGTATGTTTATTTTTTTTATAAAGGTAAACTTGGATTATGTATAAAAATATTTTATCTTGCAGGTCTTTCGCTGCAAGTGTATTATACTTTAATGATAACACTTTTTCCCTCTCATGTACTTGGCAGGTATACTTAAAAGAGGAGAGTCCTTCTGTAGATTCACAGTGAGAAGTAAATGATTTAGGAGCTAAGCTGTGAACTACAGAGTCTGCAACCATGTTCGCCTGTCCCCCTAGAGTCTCAGGTAGGTCTCTTTCTCACTCTTGCTCTCTAAAAAATGTCTGCATAAATGTGTTACTGACATTCAGATGTTTCAAGTAAATAATTAGAAACCAAGAGTCCTGGGATGGTGTATGTTAATAAGAAAGTTACTGCTGTGAACCTTTGCAAGGAGTTCTTGCTTGTCTTCTGAGGGGCCATATTAGAAGCCATGTCTGGCAAGACTGAGATTCTTGTTGAGCTAATTTCAGGGGGGAAAAAATATTACATTTTTGGAGAAGCTGGAAAACATGCTTAATAGCAATAAGGTTGTAGTGAACAGCATTTCATTTTTGTTAGTGGAAAAACAAGGCAAGAGATTGACACAACAAAACCAGCAAGCCGATTTAGTGCTAATTTATTAATATAAAGAGACAGGTCCCAGGGTCCCAAATCAGGAAGAAAGCAATATTTCCTTTCAAAGAAATAAGATATCCTGTTGAACTTCAACTCACTTTCCAACTTCTGGCTTCCCACAGGCCTGGAAATTTCTTGTAGAAGAGTCAAGAAAGTTGGGATCAAAAATACGTGAAGGAAGGGCAGGAGTGGCGAATTCTTGAAACAAGTCATAATGCTGTTGTTGGAAGGATGTATGAGGGAGGAAATGTATTGCTGGAGTCTAATCCAATTGTTAGGGGTTGTGTTTTTCAACAGAACAGTATTTTTCACAAGTCTTGTATCCCTGAAGTTTTGTGAATAGACTGTCAGGACGTCATCACTTGTGATATATGGAATTGTGAACCACTACTTTAAGTTGTGTCCATGTGTGAATGCTTGACTTATTTCTGAATCTGTTGTAATCGTGCTTTTTGTAGACCCCATGAATATTCCACCAGCTTATTGTGACCTGGGGAAATCCGCTAGGGATATATTCAACAAAGGATATGGTGAGTAACATAATGCCCACAAACCCAATTTTGTTCTTTTCACCTCAGCCTTAGATTGGCTGTCTAGAAAAATTATACTCTGGTACTACTTGTCTCTTAGGGAAAACCTGTTTTCAGGTGACTTTAAAAAAATGTTGGTTATCATTGGACAACAGACTTGCAAGATTTTTTGCAGTGTTCAGGACTCAAGCATTTTAAAAATGTTATTTTTTTAGACCAGTAATTGTGGGAATATATAAATATAAAGGGAATATAATAGCAGAGGTCAGCAGTTAATAAAATTGATATCTTTTCAGATGTCATAATTTTGGAAAAAACTACAGTTATTAATAATTCAGTTTCTGAGAATGGTAACTTACTTATTTCAAGTGTTTCTGTGGGGACAGATAAACCTATAGATTTTTCCTGAGCAAGGTAGGAACTTCAGAAGAGCAGGACAGGGTCAGGAATTCCTGTTGTTAAATGACATGGTCATGTTGCCTTCGTCCATAACTATTTCAGACAAATATATGTTGTTTATCACATCATTTATTCTGGTATGTCTTAATTTTAGGGTTTGGAATGGTCAAGTTAGATTTGAAGACCAAGTCTTCCAGTGGAGTGGTAAGCCGTGACTTTATTAAATAATTTCTGGAACATCTAGGAAAATCTGTGTAAATACTAAAGTAGTTCCTACAAATATTCCTTTTTACCGTAGAATCCCCAAATCTTATCTCCCTATCAGTGTTTTGTGACTTGACTTTTTCAGAGCTTAATAATTTGGAGTATGTATCTAGTAACTGGCGAAGATTTTGATTGATGGCAGTTTTATACATTTGTCTGCTATACTCGGAACAATTATACCAAGAGAGATAAATAATTGAAGGAATATATAATATGATTAATATAATTGGAAATCCAGATATAAATAGTAATATATAGGATTAATCAAATTTTACAGATGAATTAACAGCGCTAATTTAATTTTTCCCCCTTTTTTCATGCAACACTGTTTTTGGATGTATAATTAGCTGGTAAGAATACACTATATTCTCTTCTATATGCTTTTTGTTAAGGTTTATTTATTTAGACCATAATCTAGTTTGTCTCTAAGCCATTCCGAGGGTTAAAAAAATGTGATAAACAGGCTCTAAGTGTTGCATTATTAAGAAGAACCATTTATATTGGAACTGTCCAAAGAATGAGAGATTGGCATAAAGTATTCTCCCATATTGTATCACACACACCACCATTCCCCAACCCTGTGTAAATTCTTCACCTGCCTTAGAAATTCTCACTAATTCTTGAATTGGGCTTGACTATTACAAGCAGTCCAAGGGCCTAAACCCTGATCAGATTAATTGTAAATCTTGCATATTTTCTGGAAGGTTTTTTTTAAAAATTTGCATCTATACCACAGTGTGGAATTTCTAGTGGGGAGTTCAGTTTTTGAAATTTGTCTCGGGGGGGGGGGGGGGGGGAGTGAAAGATGATTTCTTCCAGTAGCTTTGTATGGCATTGGCCAACCACAGAAAGGCCGACCATCCTCTACATCTTTGCAACACTTAAGATATATTAACCTGGAATAATGGGATTTATTTCTTCGGCCTCACATTCGATTTTATAGTGTCTGTCTTGTATTACATGATCTAATGTATGATAGTTTTAAGTACATTCTGTTTTACTGAAGTAGGGAGGGGCAGCATTATTTTTGTTCCCCTCTGTAGGGCATGGCTGAAACGAGGGAGTAGGGCACTTGCCGGAAATGGATGGGGAATATTTCTCTCTTTCTGATACCCTCTCATGCTCTGACATTTGCTCTTCCAAAGAGCAGGCTACTAGGGAAGGCACGGAGCGAAATCAGCACGGATTTTCTTGCGAGGGAGTTTTGAAACTTAAGTCCAGGGCTCCAGAATGAAAAGAATCAGGAAAGCTTGATGCTGAATTAATAGACTATCAATATTAACGGATCAATAGTAGTATAATTTTATCGGTGTCATGGCACACGCTGAATTATAAGACCTCGGACAGGGGAACTATATCTTGATACGGTCTTGAAATTCAGATTACATTTATAATGCTGCACAGGAAGTGTAGATCAGGGGTGTCCAACTTTGGCAAGGTTAGCATAGCATGGGGGAATTCTGAGAGTTGAAGTAACAAGTCTTAAAGTTGCCAAGATTGGACACCCTGTTATAGATGGAGATTGCATAATTTTGTCAAAATTGCATGTTAAAAACCCAAATCTTTGCAATTTAAGATAAATGTAATTTGTTTACAGGAATTTACTACTAGTGGCTCTTCCAATACAGACACAGGCAAAGCCTCAGGCAACCTTGAGACTAAGTATAAGTTTAAAGATTATGGACTTACATTCGCTCAGAAATGGAACACTGATAACACCTTAGGCACAGAGCTCACCATGGAAGATAAGGTAAGAATGGGGAATTTAGGCTAAGACACATCTGGTCTTAATAGTTAGTACTATTAATTGCGCTTAATTTATTCTGTGCACAGTCCAAAATAAAATAGATTTCATGTATTATAGAGGAAATATTTTTTAAAAATCATTTTGTCCCACATTTTTCCTAGATCAGATGTTCATACTAATCTATACAACATTAAAGATAATCAGAGTAACATTATGCTATGTCTTACACTGTTAGTGTACATTTCCCTATTTTGTGAACTGTTGTGATTGCAATGTGTAAATTTGATTAGTAAATAAATAATAAATGGCCATGAGTAGCACTAGATCAGGGGAAATCCTTGGAGAATTAAAATCTGAGGATGAGCATTGGGTGGATTTGTTTCCTAGTATCTAAAGATTAGGAAGGTGAGTTCTGAGTGAAAAATCTGAGGAAATTGTGAATTCCATGAATCCTAATTTGGGGGAGATTTTAAGATGTTCCTCCATTCTTTTTTGACTCACAGTTAACCCTCTGGTAATTGAAGAAGTATGTCATTTAGTGTATGTACACAGCAATGCTAATTGGATACTGCTTGGGTGATTGAGAGGCGAATGCTCAGTTTCCAATAATCCAGGAGCTTCATGCTATAATGGTAAATGAGAGCTGTGCCTTGTCTGTAAAATCAAAACACAGCTTTTAGGACACCAGTTACAGCAGTTCTTTCATTTGTTCGTGTTACGATTCTACTGCCATTTACTGAGAGAACAAGAAATGTTAAGTAGAGGATCCAAAATAAGTGTAATCCATGTTGTGGGGATAAAAAAAACCCCAAATGTATTCATTTCCTTTCTTCACTGCAGTTGGCTGAGGGAATGAAGTTAAGTCTTGAAACCATGTTTGTACCAAATACAGGGTAAGTATTCCTCTGAAAGGCCTCTTATCATCACATCCCTTCCCCCGTAGGATGTGGTATAACATCCAGACAGCTTTCCTAAATCCCAGAGGACGGACACTCTCTCTTCAAACTCCAGGCACTTTGGGAAAATTACCAGGCTGTGGGAGATGAGTTGTTTTAGAAAATGCTTGTCCTTCTACATGCATTTAAAAATGTCTCTAACGTGTCGATAAAATATAGTTTGAGGATCCCGTAGGTGCCTTCTAACTATTGCAGGGACTTCGTTGCTTTTTTCATAACATTTGAGTTGGCAGAACTTTGATCCTTCAAATGTTGTAGAAAATGCCAATAAAACATCGTCTACTAGACCGCCTGACTCCCATTTTTTTTCTTCTTCTTCTTCTTCTCCTCCTCCTTCTTCACCTCCCCTTTGCCAGGAAGAAAAGTGGGAAGTTGAAGACATCTTACAAACGAGAATATATAAATTTAGGTTGTAACGTTGACATCGATCTTTCAGGACCAACCATTCATGGCTGGGCTGTTTTGGGCTATGATGGTTGGCTGGCTGGCTATCAGATGGCTTTTGACACAGCTAAATCCAAACTTTCACAGAATAATTTCGCCTTGGGTTACAAGGCAGCAGATTTCCAGCTGCATACAAATGTGTAAGTACTGGTTGAGGAGGAGGAGGAGGTGTGTGGGCTGAACATGCATGTGTGTGAATGAGATTAAATATTACAGTTGAACAGATGTGTGTCCTTGGTAGTTGAGGGGGGAGTGCAGACTTCAGACTACATGAAGTCTTGCTGTGCCTGAAAGGAGGTTTCTTTTCTAATTGTCAGTTGAGATTTTGATAAGAGAAGCAGCTGAGAAGCTTTTTATTTGGTAAAGTTTGAAACAGGTCCTACATTTTGAGAATAGCTGACCGTGTCAGAGAGTGCAGACACAGCTGATTGTAGTAGCAATGTCCATCCTGAAGAATTTGGACTAACTTTTATTTCTGCCCAGTTTTTCTTCCCTGTATCTACACTATGACTTATACAAAGATTGTAGGAAGAAGGCTGTGGCAAAAAAAAAAACAATAATCAGGAATTTGGAAGGATCTGATGAAAGCTCAGAGGGTCTTTGAATAAAGCGTGTTGGTTGGAAAAAGTGCAACCAAACTTCTGAGTTTGCAAATTAGGTGATTTTTTTTTGGTTCCATCCCCTGGTACAGCTGGGAGAAATCCCACCTTTTTGTAACCTTTTCAATTCCAAATGTTCCCGAGGAATCTCTTTTTACATCACCTTGCCCTGAGGTGTTGGATACATTAAAAGAATGCCAAGGCCAGAGGAAAATTATTCAGCTAGATTATTTTTCAAACGCGTTGTCAGTTTCTGTTTACGGAAGAAGAGGGGAAGCAAAAGGGGTGACTGTCTGTGTGGTTGGGTGGGTTGAATTGAGGCAGAAAAGTAAGGGCAGAAATGGAATTTCTTCGGATTTGTTACCAACAGGAATGATGGCACTGAATTTGGTGGCTCAATCTACCAGAAGGTTAACAACAAGGTTGAAACAGCTGTAAGTCTTGCTTGGACTGCTGGTAGTAATAACACTCGGTTTGGCATTGCCTCCAAATACCAGCTGGATGACAAAGCCTCTGTCTCGGTAAGAATTTTGCCCATTTTCTACAATATTGTTAATGGTGTCGTTTGGGTGTCATATTCTCTCTTTCTCTCCCTTCTCTCTTCCTCCTGTTTACTTACAAGTTTGGAAACTCCTTGTTGGTTAATGATTTTTCTGAAGCTGTGGTTAATTTCAGTTTAAGCCAGCTTCAGGAACTGTGATTTGAGGTTGGCTTTGTTAGCCATGGCCAAGTATGATGTGACATTGAACAGCAGAATTGAGGGCAAGCACAGACTATTTGCATCTCACTAAACCATCATCAAGCAAGATTTCTGAACCTCCTCTCTGAATGCGTTGCCCCTGGTTTTGCTACTTCTTAGTTTAGAATTTGGAACAGAGGACATTTTTAATTAGTTTAATTTATTACCATGATCGGAAACACTAATGTTAAACTTTCCTTTGGGGACCTTCTTTTAGAACTGTTTTGTATGTTTCGGTGAACACCACTAGCTTACAAATAAGTTTGTGAATAGGATCGTTTGCTGATGGTAGCTTTAAGCTAAGTGTCCTTAACCTGGGATTCACAGATAGACTTCAAAAGATCTTGGAATTTGAGTAGGAAAAAATGCAATTTTATTATCTCTTAACCGCTAACAGAACTTTAGCTATTTATTTACCAATGAAGGTGGGCAATTAAGTAATTTTATGGCCTCTAGACTGAACAAAACCCCTCCTTAGTTATTTCCCAGCAGTTTTATATATATACATGGTAAGAACAGCAAGATTTATATCTATAGTTGTAGGAACTATTCTTTTATCCAAGGTCAGTCAAGGAGAATCCTTGCACAGCAAAACTTTTTTTTACAGGCAATTGTTGCTAGCTTTTCCTTATCTGTACGTGGTTAGCTCTAGTTCTCGAAAACTTCAGTGTTCAAAATACACGCATAAACGTTAATCCTAGGGAGGAACCCATGTGTTTACTTATGTGCTGCATTTTTACTTCTTTCTAGGCCAAAGTGAATAATGCCAGCCTCATTGGACTTGGTTACACTCAGACTCTCCGACCTGGTACGTTAGCGATCTTGCTTTCCTGATTTGCTTTTCCTTTTAATAATAGTCGTACAAAGCTTCTCGCGATTGTGATCATCGGCTTGGAAACGTGCAGGCAATGTCAGCTGCAATTCAGAATAGCTCAAGTGGGATTCCATGTGGATCCCAGGGGTGGAATCTGGCCAAGAATAGTACGTGTTCTAACGACACCATGCCAAGAGAGAATCCTGTCCTAAGAACTGAAGGGCAAATGAAGGGAAGATAGCTAGATCAAAGGAAGCTAGTCTGGAGATTTCTTACGTTGAAACTCTCCAGCAAACCGATAGTGGTTTGAACAAAAACTTAGAATCTGAGACCTGGCATTCGGTGCGTCACCTTTCCCAGCCTTTCTCCTCCTGCCTGTTGTTATTTTGGGCCTTATTCTCTAATTCTGCTGTATTCTCTTTAACAATGACAGGTGTGAAGTTGACTCTCTCAACTTTGATTGATGGCAAGAATTTCAGCACCGGCGGCCATAAAATTGGTCTGGGATTTGAGCTGGAAGCTTAATGTAGGTTTTGATGAAATATTAGATCTTTATTTGGAAGATGAAGGAGAAAATAAACCCCACGTGTTCTGGCCTTAAACTCTTCTGTGAAACTTCAAAAAGCGTGAACTTGATATTCTTCCAAAGAATTGTTGTAACCCCCCAACACTGAAGTCTGGAGAGTGCAACCTAATGAAGGGCAATACTTGAAGGAATGCATGGAAGTTGTAATGGTTGTAATGTTACATGGAAGTTGTAATGCTACATTTCAGTTCAGTTCTTCAGTTATTTTAAGTGTGTTCCTTGGAAGACAGCATAGCATCTGGTTAAAGGAAGAATCTCCCACTCTTCCCATCCTTCTGTGTTACTTCATCACATCGTGCATGTCCGACATTTCACGACCTTTTGTAAAACTGCTCTCTGTAGTGAAAGCTTTGGTTTTGCATCAAAATGGAAATAAATGAAATCACATTTGGAACCCAATCCTTTGTTTGATTTTAATGCTACTTTCAAAATCCTGAATGTTCTCTTGTTTGGGACCAAACCAGCCAAGATAGCAAAATAATTGTTGGAGGGGGATTGCATGACATTTCTTTCTGTAAACTCAGAGTTTTGCTGCCAAAGGAAACTCTTTAAAACTGCTCACTCAAGTATAGAAAAACTAGATTCATTTATATAGCACTTGATGGAGAATAAATATAGTTGCAACTTAAATGAGCTTTTTTTTTCGCCACTGAAGAAAGACATGCTGAATAGCAGCATATATATATAAAATATTTGCTATTTCCCTCTCAAGGAATAGCATGATCACAATGTGTGCCTTTCAGATACTATCAATACTGCTTAACAAATAAATTAATAAAATAGCTACTGTGTTAAGTCTGTTTCTGTATTAAAAATAGTAATTTATAGCCTTTATTACAATACATATTTTTCCATCTGGTCTGTAAAAAAACAAGATTCTTTTTTTTTGCAGTTGGAGTACAGTTAATTTTTTTAAAAAACTGATCTCTTAGACATTTGGCTTGGGAAAAGATTCAGGCAAGACTTTAAGGCAGAGTGTTATCTTTTAATCATGTATTTTAAAAAGTAAGCTTAATACATCCACTTATTCCTCCTTTTAGAAAAAAAAACCAAAAACCACTGGGAATAATTGAACCATGGAATATTGGTGGTTCCTCCAATCCTCGATATTGCACTGCTTTCAGGTTTTTTAATCATAACACAAAACCTGGTTAGAGGGGACCAAAACCTTTTGCTCATGCACCCTTGAAGAAGAGTGGTAAATTTACCACTTACAATCACCAAAAATAAGGCTTCAATATCTTTTTATTTCTTTGATGAGATTTTTACTTCTCTCAAAAAAGTGTTGATATCAAAGTCCATCGAGGAAGCTGTAAAACTAGATGCTGGGCAGGTTCTGTGTAGCCCCTGCCAATGCCATTCAAACTTTCCAATGACTTCAGGAGGAAAGACTGCGGGTAGAGAGACTGGCGTGTTGGCCCGTATCCCTACATCACGAAGCTCCCAGCTCTCATGGAAATCAATGCAGCTTCTGTCCCACAAATATTTTCACAGCAATATTAACAGAACTAAATCATACGTGGAAGACTCGTATTAAGAGCGCTCCAAATTCTTCCCTTGCTGGAAACGGAATATATTTTTCTCTTATGTACATCCGTGTAACAAAATGTATGCCAACTGTTTTCAGTGTCTGCAATTAAGCAGTAATATGGAAAACAGCCACTACCACATGAACAATGAAAACCGTAGAGAAAACCATAGTTTATATTACAGTTGAGTAAGAATCAAATAAAAATACTTAAGAGTCACCCAGTAGGCTGCAGGTACAGATTTCTTACCAAGAATATCACTTACACACAGATCAGGTCATCAACATGATGGAAAGTTCATTATTATGTGATTGAATTAAGATTATATTCACATCTGAGTTTGTTCTAGTCTTTTTCTTTCTTCTGCTGGAAGTTCCAGCCAACTCCAGTCCAAAGTCTAAATATAAAGAGAATGCATGTTCCTATTAACATACCCTGCATTTGTTAACATATAGATAGACCAGAGCTGGACAATTCATTTGCCCACATGAGAAACCAGGACTGTTTGGGGAGGGCTGATGGCCTACCGACCACCCACCCAACCCGACCCATGATGACAATGCCTGCTACCCCAGGCTAGACTGGAATAAATAGCCCGTGGGGCAGATGTGGCCTCCATGCTGTAAGATGCTCAGATCTGAGACAGACCAATAGATAGGTGAATTAAGTAAATTCTCCCCCCTCCTCTTTTTAATTTTTCCTCTCTCTCTCTCTCTCTCTAAGCCAGGGGTGTTCGAACTTGACAGCTTTAAGACTTGTGGCCTTCAACTCCCAGAATTCCTCCTCCAGTCATGTTACCTCAGGAATTCTGGGAGTTGAAGACCACGAGTCTTAGACTTGCCAAGTTTGGAGATCCTTGCTCTTAAGCAGCGTTCCATAGAACTAGCTGGCTGAAAGGTGAGAGGGGCTCTTACTACTCTTCTCCTAACCCACCACCCATCTGCTAGAGAACTTACCATAAAGCTGTGCTCTTGATCCTTCATTGTATCAACCATGACATTCTCCAGCTGACTGCAGAGGCTATGAGTTTCCACGAGAAGATCCTCACTGAGAGGCAAAAGTATAAAAAGGAAGCTTTATAAAGACATTTCACAGGCAAAACGTTGGGTACGAAGAGCGGCTGCCCTCCCAGCTCACTGCTTGCTTTTGTCGGGAGTGAGCAAACTTTTCATCTCTTAAGAAGTTTGCACTAGCCCAATTAAAATGGTACTTATTTTGCACAATACTGATTTTTTTTTTCCCTAAATGCAAAACGCTTCAAAGGACAATCCACTATGTTCTTAAACAGTCTTCGAGGAAATAAGCGTAAAGCTCCTGAATTAATAGATATATTTGAGATTCTGCCAATTTCCATTATAGGTAGTTTTTGCTTATCAAACCTAATTGGGCCTGGCAATTCCACCAACAAACCAAAGTGGTTGCTGAATGGGCCATCAATCACAGGACCTTGACTGCTTTTTGATGGGAAAAAGCCAAAATTACTCCGTTTCATACTTCCCTTTTGTTTGCCTCCTAAGCCATCTGAATGTTCAAGTGCCTGCTTGCCATGTGCCACCCTTTTATTGAACATTAAAAGCAACGCAATCACGCAGCAGTCTAGGGTTGGGAGCTGCAGGTAACGCTGCACAAGCAGTTGGTTCTCTTGAACTCTCTTTCTCCCCAATTTCTCCGCTCAGGGTGACCAAGGGAGCCTGACTCCCCCCAGAACTGAGACTGAAGAGTGATTTTAAGAGAGTAACCTGTTCAGGCAGCAAGAAAATATCAGGCAAAGAAGAGAATGCCTACAGAAAGAGCAAGTTGCTTTTATTTTCTCCTACCCAGCCCCCTCTCCCCACCTCTCAACAGAGCAGAGAGATTGGAGAGAGAGTTTTCAAGAGACTATTGTAGGACCGTTGACATAATCTTTCTCCTTGGGGGCGGGAGAGAGAGAGTAAGTGACTCCTCTAGGCAACCTCTCCTTTGCTGCCGGCACAAAGCAAATCCATCCAAAAGCAGACAGCTTGCTCTCTTGCAATCCCTTTCTCTCCTATCTTTCTAATCTGGGGTGGGAGGCAGAGGAAAAAAATAAAACAGGTCAAGCACAGGACAATCCATACTAAGGGCGATCCCGTGACTAAGGGAAGCAACAAAGAACATAAGTGGGCCATTGTTATATTTTTTTTCAGCACCGTTCTAGCTTTGAACACTCACTGAACAAATGGTCGGTAAACTAAGATGTACTACGGTTTTCTCTGGCAGAATATTAAAAAAATAATATACATAAAATATTGGGAACCAGTAATTCACTCCTGTGTTGTAGAAACAAGTGAAACCAATTTTGGGGCTAATGTACCCATAATGAGACTAAAGTTTTCCCTTTGTAAACTGTTTCTGCAGCGTTTCTGTTTTTACCCTTTACATATGGTTCACTAGCTTTCCCCTCTTAAATGAGTATATAACTCTTATGCCTCAAAGAACCTGTTGGTAGCGTGAATCTATAATCAATGGCCACACAGAAGCTATAAGGAAATGTGGACATTTAAATATGTTTTCGGGCTAATCAACATGCTGAGTTGTGTTCCATGTATTTTAACATCTTGAAGCACACAAGTTTGCTTTTAGAGCTCTCGGCTGATCTCTAAATATAAATCGCAATATTAAATATCAATCCAATTCATCGTGTCCCGCATCACGTTACTCGTTCGAAAGTGCCTGTTATCTCTTTCAAAAAAAGGGAAAGATAAGTTTCCTTATGAACTGAAAGTATTTCAGCAATGCTGCCCTGCTACGTATCTGGCCGCGTGGTTTCCAACAGCTGCTTCTATTTTGAGGGCGGGGCGGGTGTGTGTGTGTGTGAGAGAGAGAGCAAAGTGCATTGAATGGACTGTGTGCCAAAATGGGACTCCTGTCCCTGTGTATCAGAACTTGCAGACAAACATTTTAAAGTAAGCAGGTTCTAGGCAGGAGCTGAAAATGAGCTGCTGCAGTTGGTTTTGGGCCAACGGACAATGGCATCAGCCGATATTAACGGCAAAAGCGTATTTCGTACTAAAGGGGAATAATGGTAATATGTGAGATTGAAAACGGACAAGCAGTAGCGCTCCCCAGTCAAATATATTTTCATTTCTCCTTTATAAAGGCAGACAGAAATCTAACCTCAATTTCATAGCTATTAAGATTGTTGGCCAAGCAGGGACAAAGATAGCCAGGGAAATGAGTCCCTTGTCAGTCAACAGGAGGGCTGATTTGCCGCCAGCTGATCAATTACTTAGGAGACAAGGACTTGGTGGCACAAGGAAAAACAGCCAATCACCGGCCATCAACACACCAACCAACCAACAGAAAAGCGCCGTATAAAAACGAAGAAGGTAGAAGATCCCGAAGCACGTATTCCAATAGGGAGAAGTTCCCTAAAGATGGGCGACAAGAATCTGAAAGCTCAGAAGGGTAAACTCTGGTCCCGGTGACTGACCCGGGTGGATCTTGCAACATTATCCTGGGACATGTGTATTTGCCTTCATTTGTGATAGGTATAACTGAATAATGGGCTAAGGAAGGCTCTTATCTCCTTTAGGAAGCATTAAAGACTGAGATATTTCTCAGTATTGTATGATATGGTCCTGCACTGCTGAGCAGGACCACATCACCCCTCCCTATGACTTGTCCCTCTTCTGCAAACAAGATCAACCGCTTTGGATTGGAACCTCACGTCAAAAGGACACTGGATCTTAATGCAAAACAGAACAGATGCCTGTTTCTCCGTGCAATAACTCTGGAAGTCAGGTGGCAGCCCCAGTTGACCTTGGCTAATCTCAAAAAGCAAAATGAGACTGGATGAGTTTTTGGACAGAAGGCCAATTTCAAGGTAAACTGGAGAGAGAGAGAGAGGAA